CCCGATGGCATCCATGATCAGGGGGCTGGATTAGTCCCGTACTGGCCTCCCAAAGAGCGTCTGGGGTCGATATGCTTTCCCTTTTCAGGCCAACTGTTTATGTGGGTTTCTCCAACCTGGTACAGACCCCTTCGTTCTTCATTCCTCCCTCTCTTCAACTAGGTTCCAGAATTCAGCTCAGTGTATTTCTGTGTATGTCTGTCTCTGCTTCCATCAGCCACTGGATGAGGACTCTAGGATAGCATAGAGAGTAGTCATCACTCTCATTCTAGGGGAGGGGCTTCTAGGCCATCCTCTCCTCCACTGCCCGGACTGTCAGATCGTGTCATCCTTATAGGTCTCTGGAGATCTTTCTAGTTCCAGATCTCTTCTCAGACCTATAGTGGCTCCCTCTGATATGGTATCTCTCATCCTGCTCTCTCTCCTCTATTCTTCCCCCAACTCAATATATCTGCTCCTCCCTTTCTTCTCCTCTCCTCTTCTTCTTGTGCTCTTATTGTGGCAGCACCCACTCCCCTACCCTCATGCTCTCAATTAGCTCGGGAGTTTATGCCACTTCCCATTCCTGGCTGAACCCCAATTTTTAATTGAATTGTTTGGTGTTTTGGTGACAAAGGCTGAAGAACAAGGGAACTGCTACCTCTTCATACTTCCACCTGGTCCTGCACTATAATAGGCAGTGCATGTGCCCAGTTGTTTGCTTCTGAAGAATAATCCAAATCATTGTATGTTGAATTTCATTTTCTCTTCAGCTGCACGTTTTCAGATACCTTGTATCTGGGTACACTAATACTTATTGAATGACTATTCAAATATACAAGAATATGCAAAAGTTAACATTTTTGTGGCTGTAGTGCTTTCATGGATCAACTGGCACTCTCCTGTCTGAAATAATAGCGCATTCAACTTAATTAATTAACTAATGGTACAAAGCTTAACTGGTAAATGATGAAGTAATATAGAGCAGAAATATATATTAGTATTTAGCACAGTTTTCATGCCAGAAGCACTTATGACGAAGTTAGAGTTCTTGGTAGGAAAATGGACTGTTGGCTGTTCCTTAGATCAGACTCTAAACTTAAAGGTAATAGTAAATTTTAAATAATTGAGATATTTCATAATACGCATTTGTGTTTTACAAGGAGTCCTCCATTCTTTAGTTAAATCTAGCTTCATGTGACAAAGCAGGAGCTTACTAAGAATGAGCAGGGGAGGCCCTAGGAAATGAGGCCTCTGATAAGGAGTTTGGCTTAAGAATTGGAACAGAATATATGCTCCTCCGGGTTACAAATGGGAAAATCTGATTCAGAAGAAGTTTTTAACCTGTGAGTTTAATCCTGAAATGGAAACATGTAAAAGTTGTTTGCAAAGAAGCAAAAACAAAACAAAAGTACTACGATTTTAAACTCAGAGTCTTAAGGAAAATCAAAATTTCAGTGTTTGGTGGGTAGTGCAGAGCCTTCTCAGAGGTTTAAGGCTTTAAACAAAGAAGCACCAAAATTAATCTTTGTATGTGTACCCTATCCATTTTATTAAAATATATGATCTTTTTCTCTTGCATTTATAGTCTGTCTTATAACTTTCTTGTGGCCACTAATAAAACTGATACAAGTAGAGGATATACTTGGGGATTACTTTTTCTAACAGAGTATATCAGTATATCAGACTTTTTCATGTCTCTTTTTTATCTTTGTTTTCAAACAGTTTTTATTTTATTTTATTTAAATATTAAGTACTGTGCATGCTGCCATAGTCTTCGTGAGTTCATATGTGCATTTAGAGGGCCTTATTTCCTTGGTGTCTTCCATCCTCTCTGGCTCTTAAGATCTTTTCATCTTCTCTTCCTTAGTGTTCCCTGGGCCTTGAGGGCTAGGAATCAATGAAAATCCATTTAGCACTGGGTGTTCAATATGTCTTACTCTCTATTCACTATTGTCCAGTTGTGGTTCTCTGTATTTGTTCCCATTTCCTGCAGGATGAAGCGTCTCTGATGATGGCAAAGGAAGACCCTGATCTATGAGTATAGTAGAATGTCATTAGGAGTCATTTTATTGCTGTGTTCCTCATCAAAACAGTCATATTTGATTTTCCCCTAGGTCCCTGGCCTATCTAGTATCAAGTTGTTGGCCACCCAAGCATTGGTGGGAAAGGGTTCCATCTCATCCAATGGGCCTTAAATCCAATCAGATGTTGGTTGGTGAGTTCCACTACTAAAACTTGTGCATCTTGCAGGCAGAACATATTGTAGATGGAATAATTTGTAGTTGGATTGGCGTTTCTTTTTCCATTTGGTAGAGTGTCTGTACCTTCCAGTGCCATGAACATTATGAAGTCTCTAAAGTAAGCAGCAGCTCTACATTTCTATTCAGTGAGTTGTGTAGCTGTTATCTTCAGCAGTAGAGCCTCACCATCAGTTTGTGGATAGCCAGTAGCCTTCACAGTAGCTTGGGTTGTTTGGCCAGCAAGTTGATTAGATGCAACCCATTCCCGGAACTGGAGGCTTGATTTGGTAATGAGAGATGTCCAGCTGGGTCTCTTGTTTCCCCATTATTTAGCAATTCCATTTAGATTGCCTTCAGTTATGTATATATCTTAATAAACTACTACATTAGACTTCCATATGACTCCTCAAGTGGCCCTTAGCTTTAGCTGACCCTCCCTGTATTCCTTCCCTCACTACTCTTCCCTCCCTTTTCCATCTGATTGTCCTGTTCCTGTCCCCCAATAAAAATCAGTATTCGAGACCTTTTCATGAGTTTGCATACTTTCTGGCTTAGTACCTGACCACCCTTGCTGATGCTGAAATACCTGCCTGACTACACCCTCCTCATGCTAAAATACCTTAGAGTACTGCACATCATACATCTTGAGCTAGTTATTGGTAAGTTGGGGGCTTCTTGATAATGAGCAACAGTTTAAAGAACACCAAAACATTTTCTTTCATGGCTTTTTAAAGATATTGTTATAAATGATCAGTTCCTTTCTATAATATCAGTTACATGTAAATATCAGTTCATTAATCTAAGGCATCTGTTTAAAGGTACATTTTCCATCTAATTTTTTTGCAATATTTTCCCTATGAAAAGAGAGAAATAATATTGCTTAAAAGTGTTGTCTAGGACTGTTTGAAGAAAGCTGGGTGTGGTAGGGCAAGCACTGTGGGCTGTAACAGGAGAGTCATAAGGTGGAAGGCCAAATTTTTCTAGAAAACAAAGAAAAATTGTGTTTCAATACAATTTAATACATTTTAAAACTATTTTTATTCCTTCTGTTAATGTATATTTAATTAAAATGTTAGAAATTACATTGTGTTAGTTAGTTTTGCAATTTATATTTTGAGAACTTATTTTGGCTTCATAGTTTTTGTGTTTCTTTGTCGGGTTACGTGTGTTGATCTCTATGAGGGCAGTTCCTTTATGTTTTAAAGCATTTATTGAGCAGTGTCTTCATTACAGTGATCCATCTGTATTGGTCTTCAGAATGATCATGATTATCTATGGCTTTTACGAGAAGTTTGGTGTCATTTCAGTTTAAACCAACCTGTGGAATTTTTCTTCACTCAGCTGAAAAAAATCAGTTTCATATTTATATTAAGCATTTCTTTAGTGTTTTCTGGATGTTGGTCTATCTTTAAAGATTGTTTTTTATACAGAATTTTGGCATGGAAGAATATTAGAAACTACTTTGATATTAGATCTTTACACAAATAAAGTTATCTATTGTTACATTAAAATACCTTAAAATTTAGTAATTTTGAAATAACATTCAGTCATCTTAGGTTTTTTTTGAGGTGGGCACATCTAGACATGGTTCAGCTGCATTCTAGTTTAGAATCTCACAATGCTGCAGTCAAGGTGGCAGTTAGGTCTGAAATCTCAAGTGAAGTCTTGATCTGCTTTTTGGCTTGCCTCCAGAGTAGTCCCCATTCTACTGAGCTGTTGAATGATTTGATGGTCATTTTAGTTCTGACTTCAAGATGAACCTGGATCCCAGCTCTTTGTAGTCTCTTATGGGTGTGTCTGTGTGTGTGAATGGGATGGGTGGGTGGGATGTGTGTGTCTGCAGAGAAAGAGGGAGAGTGACTATGTTAGCGTACATTTTCCATTATCAAAACTACAGTACATGTGCTCTGTGTTTCCTTTATAGGTGCCTTAGCTGGATCAATTATCGTGGAGCCACATGTCACAGCAGTGTGGGGAAAAAATGTTTCTTTGAAGTGTTTAATTGAAGTGAATGAAACTATAACACAGATTTCATGGGAGAAGATACATGGCAAAAGTACACAGACTATTGCAGTTCATCATCCTCAATATGGATTCTCTGTTCAAGGGGACTATCAGGGAAGAGTCTTGTTTAAGAACTACTCACTTAATGATGCAACAATTACTCTGCATAACATAGGCTTCTCAGATTCTGGAAAATACATATGCAAAGCTGTTACATTCCCACTTGGAAATGCCCAGTCCTCTACAACTGTGACTGTGTTAGGTAAGTGTGCTTGAGTTGTGTTTGATTATTATGATAAATATTATATTAAAATGTTTTCAAGAATATAAAATGAGGCTTTTTGCAAATTTGATATAAATTGAAAACATTCAGATATTCATTCTCAGATTCTGTCTTAATGCTGTATATTTCTAAGGTCTCTTAATATAAGCAATGTCTACCCATCTGTAATGCTGCATAGTTTTAGCTGTTTTTTCATAATAGAAGGCACTTTAATTATATTAATGGATGTGATTTTCATCTGGTCATGTTAATTTATACCTATAAAATTCCAATTCTTGAGAAGCTGAGGCAGATTATTGCCATAAACTCCAGGTTAGCTGGGGCTACAGCATGAAATCCTGTTCTTAAAACAAAATCTGAACCCCTATAACCTTTTTATTACTTCATTTAATTTTAAAACTTTAGTTATATATTCTTGTTTAAATTGTTCCTGGTTTTTTTTTTTTGTTGTTGTTGTTGTTATTTTGTTTTTCTCCAGTGATTTGCATTGGCCTTCTTGGAACATTTTGTCACCTTTTATTTCCGCTTTTCACAATGATTTTTATTCCTGCCGTTGAAGGCTTGTGTACCTATATGAATTACACACTGTTTTCCATATTGAATTATATTTCACTGTTTCCTATACCATTAGAGTTTATGTTGAAACTTTGAATAACCCTGTTAGATTTGTGGTAATAACTCCCTGAAGTAGAATGTAAAACAAGTGGAAATGCAGAGGAGTACTGTGGTAGTCATTGATCTGGGACAGAGAGAGGAGTAACAAGAATCTGCAGCTGATGGGGAGGAGAGATGCTGCTCAGCTCCTTTCCTCCTCCAGAAAGCCTCATTGCTCTGCTAGAGGAGCCAACACCTTCTCCAAGTCCAGTTAAAATTTCCTTAGGAAGAAACAGGGTGGATTGGTGAACATAAGAAGTATTTTATAAAAGGAATGGTTGTTAGTCCTTAAGTAATGGGTAGTTTGGGTTTGGCATATGGAAGGAAATTTAGGGAAACCTTCCACTTGGATTGAACAGAGAGCCAAGTCTGAGACAGTGCAAAGTTACGTTAATTCTCAATTGTTGAATGTGAGAGCTAAAATTGTTGAGAACTCTTTACTATTCATCATAGAGTGCTTTGCAGATCCATGGTCTCCAACCCATCAAATGCCAGTAACACTCATTGTGATGAAAATCTCTCAACACACAAATGTCCTCTGGGAAAGTATAGTATAGAAGGAATTGATATGGTTGGAAATGGGCTTCTGGAAAAGTAATTTGTCAGTTGAGCAAAGTATTTGTATGAAGTATAAGACACTTTAAATCTGGAGCATATGAAAATAACTTGAATGAATGGGAAAATTGATAGTTTTATTGTAAATGGAAGCTTGTGCTCCTGCCTCATCTGTTCTCAAGCCCTTGCTGCTTAAAGTTAGTTAAAATAGCAAGTAAACAATATCATTAAAAATTGACTTTAAATATACCTGTTTCTCAAGAAAAAAAAAAAAAAGCTTTAGTGAATATTTTTTTCAGGCTAGCTCTTCTACTGGGTTGTTTGGAATCCTAAAGTATACAGTGAGAAGTATGACTACATTAATACTGGGAGAAGATGGTGTTGAAAAAACCTTTCTCTGAAAGCTGGTTCATCCTGGAGATACTGAATAATTAGGAAGAAACATTGTAATGCTCAGATGAGATTTGGTGTTTATAGAAGGGAGAGATGGCTTCTCAGCCTTTGGGCTAAGATCAAGTGAAGCAAGAGGCAAAATCTTCAAAGTGTAGTTCTGTCCAGTATGGAGTGTCTTACTGCATGTGCTTTGTATCTCAAATATTTGCACTGTCAGAGTAGTATTAAACTCAAAGTAAATTGTGTTTGAAGAGCCATAGACCCAGTATATAGTACATAAGTGGGCTGAACTTGAGAAAATCTTGGCCTAGTTAGTTTATAGGAGCTTGGCATAAAGGAAGACATATTTCTGGAGGGGCTATCTTTAGTCTCAAAGTATTTCTCCATGAATAGTCCAGATGTAGTCTGTCCTCTACTTGAGGCCCACCAATCTTACAAGTGAGGAAGGTCAGTCTTCAACTCCCTATACAAATAAAACTACAGAAACTCATGTCTGGGGTATGGCTCAGTTGCTCAAGTGCCTTGCATACATGATGGCTGGTTTGGGACCGTAGCTCCATATAAATTGGTCATAGCATGGGGGCAAATTCTTGTAATTCCTGCATTCTGGAGGTGCAGACAGACAAAATGGAAGCTCAGTCACAGCAGGCTACAGAATGAGTTTGAACCCAGTCTGGGATGCATAAGACAGCCTTAAAAAGCATACAGATTGATCTATGCACACATAGGCTGCTGGAATTACCAGAGACTTTTAAACAATATTGCTTGTACCATTTGGGAAAATTTATCAATCTATAAATTTATGTAAACAACCAGACACAAACTAAAATCACGTAGTAGTTGGCCTCAAATTGGAGAAAGAGTATTTCTTGGTACATAAATAGTCAACCATCAAAGTAAATAATAACTCAGTACATTTGAATTAACTTTTTAAAAAGGACTAGTGAGGATAAAACTCAATGGCAGAATATCTACAGGATCTTGGTTCATTTCCTGAGCATCTCAAAACAAAGTGAACAGTAGAATGGCAAGCTGATAGGAAATAATCTGTGCTACATATAATTTAGAAGAAACTGTTTTCCAAGATTTCTGTACAACCTTCACATATCAGTTAGAAAAAAGTAACCTATATATTTGTCAGAAAAAGAAGTCGAAAATGACTCTAAAACATACAATACTCTCTACCCTCATCCATAACCTAAGAAATTTAAATCTTAATGATGTGTCATGACATATATGAGATTGGAATACTGAATAGTTTAATAACATTAGTTGGTGAAAATATGGATTCATATCTTAAGATTGCAAGTTAACTGGCACCTTGAGTAAGTTGAGGTGAAGTTGAAAATAATTATGATAGAAGCAGTTCTAGTATTTGAGACAAACCAGAGAAAGTTGCAGATAAATATATTAAGATACATATATGAATGATGGTTATAAAACTAGGAAACATAGGGAACAACCCTAGTGTCTACCAGTAATAAATTTTGGTATAAATAAATGACTTACTATATAAATAAGTTCTACAATAATAAAAATTCCACATGTATCTAAATCATGGAAAAATAAGTAGTTGAAGTGAGTTTAAAAACAACAAAGCTAAATAAATGAATATATTGAATGCAAAGTTGAATCAAAGAAAACATGCACAAATAATGTACAGCAGTTCTGTTTTATACTCCAGGTACTGGTAAAGTAAGACTGTCTGGTTTGGATTTGCCTTATTGATTCTAATGAGAAGATATTTAAAATTTCATTTACCAAGTTAGAGTTATGGTTCTATATTAAAGTAGATAGGATAAGGCAAGGAGAGATAAGGAACTTGTGAGTTGCTCATGTTCTTAGTTCAGATGGTGGTGGTTACCTGAATATTTGCTATCATTACATATGTTTCTTTTCTTTTCCCTTTGTTTCTCAGTGAGGAGGTACATAAGGAAATACTAAAAGCCTTTAAAGTAAAATATAGAGCAATAGTAGGTATGAATTAGAGATAGAGCAAAACCAGGAACTTATTTATTTAAAGGTTATTTACTTTAAACTTTTTGCTTAGAATGAAGGTATATATATATACCTTTAGAAGTAATGGCTTTAATATCATGAATGAAATTATGATTGGGGTCATAGAAATCTTTTAATTGGGTTGTATTTCATTCACCTCAGAAGGTAAAGCTTTATCAGGGACAGCTATGATAATTTAAAACTTAACCTCTTATTTTGGGAATGCCCTCGATGTTCGCATTTAAAAAATAGTTGTATGATTTTATTTGTATGTGTCCCTATTATGAAATATTTCTAGATGTGGCTAGAACAAATTGTAAGTACTTAACTGAAGTACAACTTTTTCTTTTTTTGAACAGTTGAACCTACAGTGAGCCTCATAAAGGGGCCAGATTCTTTAATTGATGGAGGAAATGAAACAGTAGCAGCCATTTGTATAGCAGCCACTGGAAAACCAGTTGCACATATTGACTGGGAAGGTGATCTTGGTGAAATGGAATCTACTACAACTTCCTTTCCCAATGAAACAGCAACGATTGTCAGTCAGTACAAGCTGTTTCCCACAAGATTTGCTAGAGGAAGGCGAATTACTTGTGTTGTAAAACATCCAGCCTTAGAAAAGGACGTCCGATACTCTTTTGTACTAGACATACAGTGTAAGTACTGCCAGTGTCTGCTTACTCCACATATAGTGTAAGGGCACACCAGTGTCTATTTTCAGCTTAAGCTACACACCAAATTTTCTCCTGTTTGAGTTCTTGAATACTGAAGGTGCAGACATTTCTACAGCAGAGTTGCTCAACTTAAAAATGTTTAACCGTGTACTTCAGAGGTGTACTACTTAAAAGATAAGCAACTTTATTGTGTTTAACTGGGCTGCTAATCCTGCCCTGGGTCTTAAGTTTTTTCAGTGAGAATCCTTTACTTGGAAGGCAGAGTGAGTTCCTGGACAGCGTGATCTATACAGCAAGTTCCAGGACTGCTTCAGCTACACAGAAACCTTGTCTGGAAAAACAAAATATTACTTTCCAGATAAATTTTAGCTAGTTTGGAAATCTGTCTTTCTTCAGTATTGTTCTAAGTTGATCTTAACTGATAGCATCATACAATTTTTAGGTAGTTAAAATATTTTAAAGCTATCATTTGTAATGATAAAAATTATATACAAGAATCAAAGCTGCCTACTTTGTACTTAAAAGTTTTGAGGAGTTTTTTCACCTGTGTTTATATTTTCACGTGTATCTACAGTTCACTTTTCAGCAGTTTCTGGTTTTGATGCATTGTAATTTGTTTAGAATTTTAAATTTTTGAATAAAAATGGTGGTTGCTTTCTCTCAGCAACATTATTGTCTGCTCTCATTTCCATACATGCAGATTGAAGTCTTCTGTGTTAGAGTTTTGAAGTTGTTTTATTATTGTTACATTTTTGGTGAAATGCCATGCTTAGTAGTTTAGATTACACTGCTCATTACACTTAAATAAAATTGATTATGCTGTGCATATACTAAAGGCCCCTTAGACTGCAGTAAATAAATAGTTTTATTACCATTTAAGCCCTAGATGTTTATTGCACTTGTATATAGTCTCAAAAAATGTGTGCCACAGTTCTACATGTGCACTGAATATTGCTTAATTATAATGTATGCATCTTATTTCTCTTAGATTAAACTTCCTTTTCAAGACAGTTATATAAGGTACTTGGTACTAAGACAGTACCTTAATGTCATGTCTCCTTATTTAATTAAGTACTATAATGTATTTGCTTTGTTTATAAGTCTGTATCTTTCATAAAAGGACTTATGACGTCTTACATTCCACATCCCTGCTAAATAAAGCCATGGGTGATTTTGTTTATCTGGTATCTGAATACCATCCATCCACCCACCCACCACCCATACATTGTCTTAGTCAACTACTGTTAACTGAGTATTGTCTTCCTAGGTGATTATGCTGAAAGTAAGGAAAATAATTTCCATTCTTCTAAAGCTTATGCATTGCACTAATATATTTTCATTGTATAGTGTATTTACTCCTGACAGATGATGATTGTGATTGTGTTCATTGATTTTATAGATGCTCCTGAAGTTTCAGTTACAGGATATGATGGAAATTGGTTTGTGGGAAGAAAAGGTGTTAACCTCAAATGTAATGCTGATGCAAATCCTCCACCCTTCAAGTCCGTGTGGAGCAGGTAATACAGAATTAAATCCATAGTAGATGATTGTTTAAAGGAGAGAAGTATTCTTAAATGTATTAAGATTGATTTTAATCAGTGCAGTGCATAATTAATAGCTGAAGAAATTAAGCAGTATTTTTCAGTATTTTTCTACCCTCTTGGTGTCTCTTACCATCCTGTCCTCGAATTTCAGTTCTTTCCTGGCAGCAATGTTAGAGATTTTAGTGTTTTTCTTTTTTTCCTCTAATTGCTATCATAAGTCTGATGAAAGCTAGTCAGCAAAGAGGAAGTTTCCACTTCAGTTTCAGCTTGATTTCTCTGTATTCTATAATTAGGATGTATGATATCTTCAGCAATAGAGTCTTATCTAATTCAGATACACAGCCAAACGAAATGTCAAGAGGTTAGATTGTCTGGGGACTCTAGTTCCTAGCTAACTATAAAGAGGCATCTCATATCTAGCACTGGGATTGTTGTTTAGAGATTCGTGGCTTTTTGGAGCAGCACTATCCAAGCCCTTCAGGATGGCTCTTTTCTAACTCTCTCTCTTGTTTTTGGCCTACATTTAAATTAGTGAGACTCCTTATGGCTTTTTCATATATGTTTCATTGAGATTACTCCTTCCTGTCATTAAGATAAACCCATCCTTGATGCATCCCTACCTTCCCTACCCTTAACTTTCTTCAACTTTCATTCTCTGGTGTTCCTTCTGTCTACTTGCATATCACCCATGTTCTACTTCAGCCCCTTTATGGCACACCCAACCCCAGTGGCCCTTTTTGACTTTTCCTGGTACTCCAGGTTAAACACAAATCTAAAGATTGGGTGCTAGGGTCTGTATACAAGAGAGAACATGGAGTGCTTTGTTTCTTGGCCTGGATTACCTCACTCAGTTTTTTTCTAGCTTCATTTACTTGTAAGTCTTATTTTCTTTACAGCTGAATAAAATTATATTGTATCTATCAGCTACATTTTTACTATCCATACATCAATTGATGAACATCTGTCTAATCTGATTCCATGTCTTAGCTGCTGTGAATAGACCAACATTAAACATTTTTGAACAGACATCTCTGTAGTAGGATATAGAGTCCTTTGAGTATATCCCTAGCAGTGGTATAGCTGGGTGATATGATAGTTCTATTTGCAGCCTCTTGAAGAACTGATTTCCATAGTGGCTTCATTGCTTTACACTTCCACTAACAGTGACTAAGTGCCCTTCTTTATGTACATTCTTGATGGTATTTGTAGTCAAGTGATTTCTTTTACTTATCTTTATTTACTTTTTTGTGTATGTGCTTGTATATGTATATCATATTCATATAGGAGCCCAAAGAGGCCTGTAAAGGGCATTACAATCCTCAGGATCTGTACTTAGACAGTTGTAAGGGAATATATGGGTTCTAAGAACCAAGCACAAGTCTTCTGCAGGAGCAACAAGTGCTGTTTCTTTGGTAAAACACCCTATGCAAAAGTAAATTAGAGGAGGAAATGTTTTATTCCCACTTATAGGTCACAGTTCATTGTTGAGGCAAGTTGGGGCAGGAATTGAAGCAGAAATCTAACTTTGGTGTACAGCTCAGTTCCATCTATCTAAGGGTGGTGGTGCCCGCAGTGGGCTGGGCCTTCCTATATCAGTTAGCAGTCAGGTAAATGCCAAAACCTTTTCCCAGTCATGCCCATAAATCCAGTCTGATCTAGGCAATCCCTCAATTGTGGTCTCACATGACTTACCCGACTGACAATTAAAGCAAACTAGGACTGACTTAATTCCATAGCCCGTTTTTAAATTAGATTATTTTCTTGATGTTTGTTTTATTTTCTTGTGTGTGTGGTATATATTAACTCAGTAGATACATAGCTGACAAATATTTTTTTTTTTCCTGGTATGGGCTTTTCTTTGCTGTACACAAGCTGTTTAATTTCATGAGGTCCAATTTGTCAGTTGTTGGCTTTGTTTCCTAAGAGACTCAAATTCTGTTTAAGAAGCCCTTGCCTATGACTGTATCTTGTAATGTATCACCTTCCTTTCCCTGTAGCAATTTCATAGTTGCTGGTTTTATGTCTTTTATCCATTTAGAGTTGGATTTTGTGCCAGGACTGATCTACAGATGTAGTTTCCCTCTGCAGTGAATGTTGTTGAATATAGATCTCCATGGCTGCTCAAGGTGCTGAGACCAAGAGATAGTTGAATGCACAACCTTGAATAGGACATTTAGACAACCCCAACAAATGCTCGGGGAATATTTTGAAGAGTGGTTGGGAAATGAAAAGCAGAAAGATGGGGAGAATAACTGGCAGCCTATTCTGACCCTACTCAAGATTTGACTTGTCACCAATCAGTTGTTCATCAATAAGGGACTCATGGAACCCAGTCCCTGCTTACTGAACTATTGGCTATCCTGTATTCTGGGGGAAAAGATAAAATGTGTTGTCTTCAGTTAGGTTCCCACAGATGAGCCCAGTAGGCCCCAATGGATAATTACAAATCCATGGTCACACCAATAGACATTCATAAGACAAGTAACTCTTGAGGGGTGGAGGCAGAAGATTTGGAGCTTCAGAGTTGATAGACGACAGTTACCAGAATGCAGTGTATATATAATTGGTAAAATTGTGGAAGAAACTTAATAAAAGCTATGAAAATCTTCCCTCTTGTTATTTTGACCTATGTAACATACATAGATTAATTTTCTAAAGAAGTGGGTGTACTTATTGCACTTGGATAGTTCATCTTCTTTGAAATGAAATTTATCTGTATTCACAATTAATTATATCCAAAAGATAGGGAGTTTTATTGGGCATCTTAAAAGTTTAGCAGGTTAAATAATTGTCAGTATTTGCTATTTTAAACTATTTAAAATAATGTCATGCTTTTTAAACATCTAGGTTGGATGGACAATGGCCTGAGGGTTTATTGGCTTCAGACAATACTCTTCATTTTGTCTCTCCACTGACTTTCAATTATTCTGGCATTTATATCTGTAAAGTGACAAATTCCCTTGGTCAAAGAAGTGATCAAAAGGTCATCTACATTTCAGGTAAGCTATTGCCTCTTAGAGCAGTTAACGTAGTGCTAGCCTTATAATTACAGTATAATACTGTGCAGTAAATTTTATGCCCATAACATTGGATTCATTGATAGTAAAAAGCATTTAAAATATGTATATAAAATGCAGTTCTTTAATGAAATGTCAAAATGTGTATGCAAAAAGTTCTTCATATTTCTTTGACTAGTGGCATGCCTTTCTAAATTCTTTGGTGTTTAAATAATGAACAGTGGTTTTTTTTGTTTTGTTTTCTTTTTCTTTATTTTCTGCTTTACATGTAATTGTCTGATAAAGTGGGATATTAACTTTGTTAATTTGGCTTCAGAAATAGCATTGTTTGCCATTGGAGACGAGATGGCCATTTTTCGTTAATGAGGGATGAAAAGTAAAAATACTACGGTGTTTTAAGTGAAATTTGGTATTTTTTTTGTCAGGTTTTTATTTTTTCATATACTGGTTGTTTCACTATGAAAGTTTTGTTAATTTGGTTCAGTACAAATTTGAGCATTCACAAAATATAAAAACAGAATCTACATTTTTTATTAATAACTATAAATTACCCATGAGGTACTAATGTAGGAAAAATACATTAAATATTTGAGTAATTCTTAATGATCAAAAGGATATAGCAGTCTTCACATCTGACATATGGGGAAAGAGGATGATCAAAAGGAGGACTTTGAGATGAAGGTTTGTATTATGGGATAGATAATAATAACGCTCAGTCTCTTCAAACGTATGACTAACTTACGGATTTTACAAAGCGTTTTGCTGGTGCTTTCAGTGCTGTGACCCTGTGCTTGTCCCTAGTGTCATTGGAGGTTAGGAGTGTGCTTATGTCAATGCTTACTTGCCCTCCAGGACAATCAGTGGATTATTGCCTAGCACACAGCAGAGTTTTCTTTCTGTATGATCCTCTAAAGGAACCTGAAGCTGTGTATATCCACATTCAGCTCTTTAGTAACAATACTCTGGTGGGCAGTTGATTAAAGTATGAGTTGCTTTCTTTCCTTAAAGGACAGTTCATTTGCTTGTGAGTTGTCATATTCACTCAAGATAGAGCCCTTTTTAGCAACTTTCTTTCCACTCTTTGCTTCACTCAGTCTATCAACAAACCTGTATCTATATGGGTATGGAGTATTACCCACTCTACACCTCTCTTCTGCTATTGCTGCTTTGATCCAGAACAACCAGAACTTGTAACCTATAAAACTGTTTCCCTCCCTCTGTGGCCCTGTCACCCTTCAGTATGTAATCAGATGAGCAGCCAGTCATCCTTTTAAAGGGTGCATTAGATTATGCCACTCTTTCTTGAAGCCTTTCCTGAATTTTACTTACCCCTGGTAAGAACCAGATGTGCACAGTGAATAACATCATCGTTTATATTCCTTGCTCACTGGTTCATCCATACTGGCCTCCTTTTTCAGTGAATCTAACAGGTATGCTTCTGCCTCAGAGCTTGCATTTTCTATTTATGTAGTCTGAAGTAGCTCTCCACTTGCTTTCCAAACTGTCATGTCACCCAACAAAATCTGCCTTCTTTCTATGATTCTCCTTACCCTTTTACTATCTCCTGTCCTCTACCTTATCCTTCTATTTGGTACTTGTCAATACAGCATACTATACATTTTTATCTATATGCTTATCTATTTTTATCCCCACTAGAAGTTAATTCTTAAAGGGCAGGGATTATTTATCTATTTTAATCATGGCTATTTTGCTGCCATATCCAATAATCTATGACATACAATAGGTTTTTGGTGCATTTTTGTTGCATGAGTGAAAAAAAATAGATTTAGGAAAGAAATAACCTTATTTTCTTTGTTTAGGGAACTGATGACTAATCCTTTTTTTAAAATTAAAACTTAGTGTTATAAACTGGTGAGAAAACTTTGAGTAAATATAAAATGTCAGTTAATTACCTTGGAGTACCATTGAAGAAGATAACATTGTATGAGATGGTGTGTACCAAGTCATGAAGAATTATTACCTTTCTATACATAGTGTACGGTACTGTTTTCTGTGCCAGGGCTATTACTTTCTCTATTGCTGCTTATATTATGGTAAGCATCCTAGATGTGCTGATGCTTTTACAGAGGCTCCTTGTCATCAGTCTACTGGGTTTTTATCAGGGTAAGAGGCTGTAATTGACACAGTGTTAAATGAACATTTCAAATATATAACCTTATGTCAAGAGTCAAAGTTTTGCTTAGAAAAATAGAGTTAGCAACTCTGCAATTGTGGAATTAGGAAATTATTTTTACTATCTTTTATGTTCTCACATTAAAGGCCATCAGGCCTTGCACAGAAGTTCATGGGCTCATGGTGTAGTATTCAACTTAGGTTGCTGCATTGTATTCTAGCATAGTGTCGCTCTTGTGGCTATCAAGTGGTTTTTAATCCCAGACTAGCTGAGTGCTAGAAATTATATTTTTCTGGTTTGCTGTTTGCTTATACTTTCACATAACTGACTTATTACTTCTCTGAAAGTAGAACAGCAAATTATGACAGTTAACATCCTCACCCCATGCCAAGCATGCTTACTCCTCTGTGAAACTAAATTTCATATTATTGATTTGAGAATCCACGAATAAATTCAAGAATCTACAAATGACAATTTCTGACTTTAAGATCTTTTTAGTTTAAACAACCTACATATATTAAGAAATAAGTCGATATATGTAATTTCTAACACAGTTATCAGTAGACTGAATTGTACCTTATGGCTACAAGGACATTCCCGAATGTATTATATTTTGTACTATTTGGCAGAACTAATTAAAAGTTGGTGAAACAGACTTAAAAGGCCCTTCTTTTGGTGTCAATTTTAGAATTAATTGCAATTCTTTTTAATCTGTCATCTTCTCATATGTCAAACATCTAACAGAGAGTATCTGCAAAGTATATAGCAAAAAATGTCTGATTGAAACAATAGGAATGATGATGTGATATTAAATCACTATTGATAAGTAATTGTTAATGATTATTAGAACTTTTGACTCCATGCATGAGCTATGATTCATTCTAGATTAAAATAAAAAGATAGGTCTGCTATATATTGCCATATGTCCATTACTTAAAATGTTCAATGAAGTGTTAACTCCCTGTAGGCTTCACATGGCTATGCTATCTTCAACAATAGTTAAGGAGAACAGTGAACTGATAATTATCTAGGGCCACTAAAAAAGGCTACTAAAGTTTTTTATGTATTTTGTTAGATTGTTCTGAAATTTTTATTTTGTTAAATATGAGAAAAAGATCAGGTATCAAATTGTATACAGTTAAAAAATGTGGCAAGTTGAAATAAAAATGTCAAATTTTTATCAATGTAACATCATTGAGTTTCATATTTTCTACTTGGTTGGAGCTCTGATGTATGCACTGCTCTAAGAAAAACTAGGGAATCAGGAGCTGTCATAAGCCTTGGAAGTCTCTGTGTTACAGACAGGTATAGATGTAGAAGTTTTAAATAACTAATGTAGGCAGTTTGTATTTTTATTTTGATGTGCTAGTACATTTTCTTTTGCAATCATTACATATGTACCATTGAGTAACTTGGCCTCCTTGTTGCTCCCCTGAACAAATAGCTTTTCTCAGGAAGCAGTGTAGGTGCTTGTCTTATCTGTGTAGTACCTCAGCTCCTCAAAGCTGGATCATAGGAAGGTTTACTGCTTTACACTAACAGAATCCTTCAATTTCACAATTGCTTTCTTCAGAGTGAACTTGTTCAGCAAGAGAAGACTGTTATAAAGTCTTCAAAGTCTTCCTAGACTCACATACATCTAGCACTTGATAGCACCTGGCAATAGCTTAAAACCATAGAAAAAAGACTTCTATGGTATTTGGTAGTTTGTTGGGTTTTCTTTTTTTGTTTGTATTTTTTTTTAATACTGTACTTGCTAAATTTTTACCACATTCTATACATATGGCATTCCGTGATGAAACCTGTTTCAGTAAGTATATTTCTTTAGCTTGTGATGTTAGAATAACTTACCCCATGTAGATTTAGTATTTTCTAACAATCATTTTAAAAAGCTCTGTCAGACCCACTCACATAAAAATTAATTTTAGGAGATTACCATTTGGGTCATTTGTTTTTATCTATGAAAAAATTCACCATTTTTATATTCATCTTTTCTTTAAATTATAGAATTTTATATAATATGGCCTACAGATACTATTTAATGGACAATTAACCAATCTTTAATTTTCACTATTTATGTTTAGTTGCTTTTTAATATTAATGTCTACTCTGTAATATAATATCAATAAATGGTCCATTTGCATCTAATATTTAAATTTAGAATGTTCTCTCTAAAATATTAGCTATTCTCTTTGACAGTCTATCTTGAAACAATGGCATGGAATTATGCAAATATAGTAGAAATTCTTTCATTTTATAACTTCATGTATATTACCTGTTGATTGTTACAGGCAATTATTACATTTTTATTTTGTGTCGGTTAGTCTCATTTGATAATAGCTCATTTGATTGACATTGTTTTCAATATATGCGCTTTGATTTTTAAAATTATCAAATAATGATCTTTACTATTACATACCATTCATATAAAAGTTGTAGTACTTTTTATTTAAGAAAAATATTTTTGAGAGAATTAATAAACCAACAACTTATGTAGTATGCTCACTTAACAAGATTCTATAGTTTTTCATTCTTTTAAAAGATAAGTTCTGATCTTATAAAGTAAAGATGCATATTAAGAAAACATTTCATTTTTATTGTCATTTTATTTCCTTTTGCTACTGGCTAAGAACATATATTTGAATACTTGATTTAATTGAATTTTTGTCTGATTATTCTTAAGCTGGCCATGTATATATCAGTTAAGTAACAATCTGCATTGAAATCATAACCATTCTTTAGAGAACAGTGTTACTGGGATGTAGATTGAATGCCTTTAGACTCAACGCTATCGGTTTCATTTTTCTCCCGTCATTGGCAACTGACTAAGTGTCAGTTCTTTTTTTTT